TCCTCACGATTATATAATCGAGTAAGTGCTAGTGCTTGGAGCGTGGGTGCTGCCAGGCAATCTTATATTTGTCCTTCATATTGAATATTGTGTTTGTAATGACAAATTCAAACCCTGAGCAAATGCTAAGGAGTCTGAGTCCATTGTCGTTCATCTTTTCCACCATGTCTGCTGATGACTCCACTCAAAGCAGCAAAATCGGTTCCCAATGAGGTCGCCAAGTAGGATTAGTTCATCATCTTTAGGTACATAGGCGCTGATAAAGGGCTGCTGTCTTCCTCCCGCCAGCAGCAGCCCCAGTATCATCAGACTCTAACTCACTGTGCAGGGAGTCCCACTCAGATAGCTGGCAATCTTATTGCTGACAGTAAAGCTCACCCAGTGCATGCGAGGAGTCACAGCACTTCGGTCACTCTAGAAAAGCAGGCCTGCTCACACTGCTCTTCAGTCAAGGAACCTGTTTCAGAGCTGCATCCTTCGAACTCGCAGGTCAGTCTGGAGGTCAGCCGCCGCAACGAAGTGCAAGTCGTACGGAATCGGTCAGAATCGTTTCCAGTGCAGTTCAATCGTATCGGAAAGGTTCAGAAAAATCCATATGTCACTCGTATCATGATCGAGACGTGTGTTGTGATGATTCCACGATGTCATCAGATCGATGTGATCGTTGTGCGCGCATGGAATTGAATCACAACCCGGATGTATAACAGTTTTGCACCTATTTCGTGCCGGCAAAACATGCGCACTAACTATTTGCACGCAAACACACATTCACGCTTGTGCATTAGCCATGCATACAAACTTTGGCGCTATTTTTGTGTTGTTCATTGTTCATAGCTAAGGGCTCAACACCGATTATGATTCTTCAAAGTTGGAACTGAATTTGCATTTTGCTGATGTGAAGGACAGCTTGACCAATTTCAAGGCACTTTTCGCACACGTTTTACGTCCAAGCAATCAGTCAAGGACTGTTGCCTGACCTTGGAAACGTACACCGGATAAGAAACTAAAGCCAGAGTTGAAGGTACTCCTACTTAGTGATTTGCCTCATCGGGAAAATACGGGCAATCGGGGAAGGGGCCCGGCGGGCTATATCCCCGGGTTAGAGGCATTTTTGGTTAATACGGCGATCCTACTTGGTAGTTCGATGCGTTGACGTTTAAGATGCGGTTCATGGCTTGTTCGTTCGCGCAGCACCGTGCTCGAATCATCCGTGGCGAATCTTCTCTCGCGGTTTCTAACGATTTTTCACTTTCTTTATCATGCTGAAAATACGTATCCTTAGTATAAACTTAGTGTGTATGTTCATTCAGGTTCCTAAGACATAATTGAAAATTTTGATTATGTGTGGAAATGACAAAGACAGAATTACTGACTGTGCTGCAAGCACGTAGTGTAAGCCGAAGACGAATTAGCCCAAAATGTTTATAAAATCCGGCTGCCGGAATAATTGTCCTACGGGATATATATATTATAATTATAGTATTATATATATACTATATATATATATAATATATATATATGTATGTAACATGTATATGTAATATGTATATCTGTGGGTGTGTAGATGCGGTATATATTAAATATTTATATATAATATATAATATATATATATAATCTATATATATATATATATATATATGATATATATAATATATATATACTATATATATATATATTAATATATATAATGTATATATATGTATATATATATACTATATGTATTATATATATATGTATATATATATACATATATATAATATATATATATATAAATATTATATATATACTAATATATATATTATATGTATATATATATATATGAATGCTATTATATATATTATAATACATATTATATATATATATATATATATATTGAATGCATATACTATATATATACATTATATATAATATATATATATATATATATATATATATATATTATACATATATATGTATGTATGTATGATGCATATAAACATACATTACATGTATATAATAGACTAGATAGATAGATAAATAAGATAGACAGATATAGATATATAACATGGTATATGTATATTATATATATATATTATATATATAATATATACTTATATAATATAGTTATATATATGTATTATATATATACACACACATATAGTATATATATATATAATATTACTATATATACTAAATTATATATATATATATATATATATATATAATACTTATGTGTGTTTGTGTGGACCTGTGTGTGTGTGTGCCGCGATCCTATGTGTTGTGTGTTGTGGTGCCATCAATGTGTGTGTCTATCTATCTATTTATATCTATCTATCTTCTATCTATCTATCTATATATAGATATATATATATATTATAAATATGATATATATATATATATATAATAGAGCACATACATATATATATTATGGAGGGTCTCTATAGGGAGGAAATTCGGCCCATAAAGTCTGATCCCCCCTCCCCCCAAGAGACAATTGATAGTTGTTTCATATAAGGCTCCTGATTGTTTTTTCTTATAAATTGCACATAGCATGAAAATGCCCTATAAAATAGTTAATTATCCCGAAATTTATTAACCTCCTAGCTGACTACAAGGTTCTTATGATGTCTGAAAATCAATTACTTTTCAATATAAGAATACTTCATTGCTGAAGATCCTCAATCCCAAAGATTGCTAAGAAACACACGAATGAAAACCTCCATGTACTCACAGACTTTGCTAGTGTATAACGTCTACCATCTAACAACAACTTACATATGTGGAGGAAGCAAATGAAGACAGGAGTGTTACAGGCACCTTATATCTGTGATGAATATTTTCCGAAATTATGGCAGCGGACAAGGTAGTGTGTATCGCACGACCCAAGTGCGGAGTGAATAGTACTGTCGAGTGTGATGGAAAGGAAGAAAGAAGAATATCGATTTTACTTTAGATAAACGATTTGTGCACCAAAGCGGCGTAATGAAGGTACATAGTAAGCGAGCGGAGGTAATGAAGGTACAAGTAGTAGGCGACGTTGATCAGTGCAGAGAACGAGCGAATATATATGAAATCGACCAAAGATATCAGAACAGAAGGCGGGAAATCGTGTGAAAATTTGCTTCGCATCGGCGAACATTTTAATTGAAAGAAAAACTGATTTGTCCTCGAGTTACAACAGTAATCGAAAAAGAGAGAGAGAGCGAAAAAAAAAAAAAAAAAAAAAAAAAAAAAAAAAATATATATAATTATATATATATATATCTATATGTATATGTATGTATGTATGTATGTATCTGTATATATATATATAATATATCATATTACATAAATGTATAGATAATAAATAGATTAATATGGATATTGACTAATATATAGATATTTGTACGTGTGTCTGTGCACGTTTGTGGATAGGATTTGTGTACCAGTTTATCTTTAAGTCAGTAAGTATATTTGAGGGTAAAATAAACGATATACACGTTTTTATATATATATATATAATCTCACCGGTACAGAAGAGAGGATAGAAGTTGTAACCGTGAGTGATTTACACACGTGAACACGACAAAAAGAACAGATTGAAAATATTGCACAGTTACTACAGCAACAGCAATACAGAATACAAATTGCATCGTATTATTTTTTCTTTTTCATGTATTGATTTATTTCAGTTCTTTAAGCGCATTGACTGCCCCTCTTGTCCCTTTTTCCAGGCGTAGCACATCATTATTCGCTTGATTAATGAGCCATATTGATTATCAGAAGGTTTGATTGACAGCTGTCTGAGTCTCGGCTTGAGGGCATCGAGATGGGGGGAGGGGGGGGAGGGTTGTGGCGTCATGGAGAGACGGGGGGGGGGGATCCTGGGGCTTGAAAGCATGGTGGAGGGGGAGGGAGGGGTTTTAGAAGTGAGTGGTAAAAGGGTGGGGGAGGTTGTTCCTGGTTGAGGACATGGTGGAGGGGGGGGGGGGTCGTTGGGCATGTGGGGGGGGGGGGGGGGAGGGGCGGGGGGGGGGCGGGGAGGAGGAGGGTGTGGTGTCGTGAAGGGGGAGGGGTGCGCTTTTCAAGGGTAGGACCAACTGCTTAGCTCCATTCCACTGTCTGATAACCAGTGGGTGATAAGTTCTATTCTGATTCTTTCTCGATATCAAACGATCGAATGTCCCAACCGTTGGATCCAAACCTATAAATCCCAAACCGACGAACAACCTCATCGTCGTTCGTAGGCCCATTCAAAGAGTGAATGGCAAGAGTGACGTTCATTAAACCATCGCTTCCGGCTCTCCATCTCTCACCGCCCTTGCATGGAGTGTGCGGCGTCTGCGACGTGGGCGGTTTGAACTGACTCGCGGGCGGGAGGCTGGCGGGCGCGGATGTGGTGCGCCGTCCACATGTGGCGGGTGAGGGCGTCGGAGC